ATTCTTCTTTAACTTTATACACAAATCGTTAATCAACTCATATCAAACAGATTCCGTTTCCCTTGTGGTCTCAGAACTCTGGACCCCAATGTACATGCGTTTGCATCAAAAGACACGCCAAGCGAATGCACGTATGATCTGAAGCCCTGCTTTTTCTCAACTAAAGTGACAAATGCTTCCCGTGGACTTAATCATTGGGCAGGCGTAGAGAGCTTGCTTTAATGTGATGGAGCAGAGTCTTTTAATATCAGGCCTGATGGGTGCCGTTCAGCCCACTGGCCTGCATACTGAGCAGCAACGAATTGCCTGCTGAACATTTGGAGCGATTCATCAACACCTCCAATCTATCGGCCGCACAGGGCTTCACATGCGCTCACTGGCAGATAGCATTATAACTCTGCCTCTTTCCCCCAAAAACAGACGGAAAACCCCTTTGACGAATGATGCAAACATGGCAATCTGGTGAGAAGTAATACACAACCAAACATGGAAATGCATTTGTTGCAGATGAATTGAAAGGGAGGGAGAGGGAGAGAAAGTCGGGAGGCATGATTCATCCCTCTTATCTCCCGAGTGCCATGCAGGATGGGTAATGTCCCAGGCGGTGAGTGTTTAATTGTTTCTGATGATAAATATAATTGCAGAGAGCTTCTGGATGTTTAATTGCAGGGGCCCAGGAACTGTGGGTGAGATCACTTTGACTGGGTCTTCCTCATTAAAGCTTGGGTTGTGATAGTGCTTCAACTTCAGCATTCCAGAAATGCACCCTAGCCTCCGCCCCCACCCTCCCCCCACGTCCCAATGGGTCGCTGTGATGATGGGATGCAGTAGATAGTAGAGGGGAAAATGGAGCTTGTTAGTGTGAAATCTACACTGGAAAAAAAAAACTTTACTGTACCACCTAAGTCATGCCTAAGGCCAGACAGAATCTGTTAAAATTTTTTTCTGAATTCTGTAAAAAATCTGCGGATTTATGCTGAATCACTTTGGGAGTATCGTAACTAAAATCTTAATACATTAAATAAAAAAATGATACCTTTAAAACTTTTATTTAATGTTTACAATGCAAATCCATTTAGATCTACTTATTTGGTAAACAAAGCAAGTCTCTCATTTAATATATCAACTAGGAGACAGAAAATATGACTTTACAAACTGTATTGTAAATAATTTATATGAACATTCATTCATTCATTTTCCTTTCGGCTTAGTCCCTTCATTAATCTGGTGTCGCCACAGCGGAATGAACCGCCAACTTATCCAGTAAATGTTTTATGCAGCAGATGCCCTTCCAGAGACAACATAATGCTGGGAAACACACACACTCATTCACACAATCATGCACTATGGTCAATTTTAGCATAGCCAATTCACCTGTACCGCATGTCTTTGGACTTGTGAGGGGAAACCGGAGCACCCGGATGAAACCCATGCGAACACAGGGAGAACATGCAAACTCCACACAGAAATGCTAACCGACCCAGCCGAGGCTCAAACCTGCGACCTTCTTTCTGTGAGGCGAATGTGCTACCCACTGCGTCACCACTTCACCCTGAACATTTTCATATTAGTCAATTATATTACTGAAATTGATTTGAAAATTGAATAACTATACATTTATGCACATTTACATACACTGTTAATGATTTATGTAAATTACACATTAGTTATCTGTAATATGAACTGTATTTTACTGTAGGAAAGCTATGCAGTATGTTACTGTAATTTAAAGTTGCATTGTGAAAATTACTGTATACTTTACAGTGAAGATATACAATACTGGGAATAAATAAACAGCAAGATAAATGGTACTGAAAATGTAAATACAGTATTTTTGAAGCAACTGATTTACAGTAAGTCACAAGCAAACTGCTGCCAGTAAGTTACTGTCACAGGCAAACTGCTGCAAGTTACTGTAAACATAAATGCAGTATTATTGCAGTAAATAAGTTACAGTAAGTTACTGTTAATGTAAATGCAGTTTATTTGTGGTGATTGTTTTAAAGTAAGTCATGGCCAAACTGCTGCAAGTTATTGTGAACGTAACAGTATTTTTGCAGTAACTGAATTACGGTACGTTACTGGCGAACTGCTGCCAGTGAGTTACTGTAGATTCTACAGTAAATTGTTTACAGTGTAAGTAAATAAACAGACTCAATGAGCGGCTAAAAATCTGTGGATTTCTGCGCATGCAGATTCCGTGTGGGCCTAGTCATACCACTAAAAATACTGCGACAATTAAACATATAAGCTTTTCCATCCAAAAACTACAAATATTAATCTTCGGCCATCATTTAATAATTGTTGTTTGGTTTCATAGCACCTTTAACTTTGAAGAATGTATTGGTATTGTTCAATAAGCTGCTATAATTGTGATCTGAGTTTTTGCATTACAAATACATAGACAATCCATATTTAAATAAACACACAAAACTCATTCTATTTATTTTGTTTTCAACAGTGCATATACGAATGTCTGTCAGTTTTTAATTTATAAATACTTAAAAGTCCACTAGCCAAATTGTATAGTTGATTAATTAAAAGGCACTTATTTTTTTATTTATTTTTTGCATGTTCTCCCCGTATTCGCATGGGTTTCCTCCGGGTCCACAGGTTTCCCCCACAGTCCAAAGACATGTGCTATAGGTGAATACAATAACCTAAAATGGCCGTAGTGTATGTGTGTTAATGAGAGTGTATGGGTGTTTCCCAGTGTCTAGTCAAACAACTAAAAATAAATATTGTTACACTTAATAAAATCAGCTTTTTCATCCAAAAACTGCACAAATTAATCTTCGGCCATCATTCAATAATCATTGTTTGGTTTCATAGCACCTTAAACTTTGAAGAATGTATTGGTATTTTTCATTAAGCTGCTATAAATGTGATCTGAGGCTCTAATATGGCTTTTGTATAACATAAGCATAAAAAATGAATGTGATGTTTTATATAAAGACACAACTCATTCTATTAATTTTGATTTCAACAGTGCATACAAAAAAGTCTGTCTGTTTTTAATTTATATATACTTACTTAAAAGTCCATTAGCCAAATTGTAAAGTTGATTAATGTTACTCACGTTTTTTTTTTTTCACATGAAATTTTTCACCTATTAATGCGGATGCAGCATCATTATACATGTTTGACACAGCAATGTAGCACAGCATTTGCCAACCCTAAGTAGTGAGAAAAGCTCTTTATCTTGATAAATCAGTCTTCATTTATTGTAATCGCATGAAGTACAAGAAAACAAAACCCATCGATTGCATTTCACAAACATGTTTCTTTTTGCTTTCAGAGGAGAGTCATGCAAGTTTGAAGCATCATGATGGTGAGATGGTAAGCAAACAATGACTTCATGTTTGAGTGAGCTATGCCTTTAACTACAAACTGCTGGGGAGCCAGAGGCACAGTTCACACGAGCATGTGCCAAGAATCCTAGAGAATCTGAGACTTCTGAAATAAGAGGCCTTTGAGGAATCCATTAACCGAGTGGCTGCTGGGTACATAATCAAAGCGAAGCCAAAGCCAAAACACAGCTCTATCACTACAGTCAGAACAGCACATACAATCAGCCCCCCAATGTTATTGTAAAAAACAATACTCTACAATCAAGTTGAAGGTACACAAATACTTGTGAGAAACATGGATTCAAGGTAAAACGTTTTTACCATGGCAGCGAGGAACGCTCTCCAGGTATACGGTTCAGGCTTTCCGCATGGCTGTGTGGTGTTTGAGCGCAGCGGCATCAGTGCACCATTGATTTAATTAGGTCTCCATCTCCTCTGCCTGACAGAAGTTGATTAGAGGTGCCAGATGCCCCATGTGTAATTCCACTGCCAGCTGCCACATAGCTTTGCCAATACTCTATGATTAGTACCCACTGGCAACTGGGCAAGGCACAGGTGCCAACTGCAGCCAGGAGAGAGAGAGAGACACACAGCCTGACGTCCCACTGCAGTAGCTGGGACATGGGCACAAAGAGAAGAGGGGCGGCTTAAAACACTTCAAACGCTGAGGCCAACCTGAGGGCGGGCATCAGATCAGCACTGAAGATTTGTAACAGCTCTGCATTTAGTTTCTAGTCTTTAACAGTGGTGAGTTTGCATTTAAGGCACACATTTAGCATTCTTGATGGTTATTGGGCTCGAAGCATTAGCAAAAGGGACACATCTAGAAGTGCAGCCATAAAAGGGGGTGACCATCTGCCCTCTGTTTTGAAGGCTGTGTGTGTGTTTGTGTGCGAATGTCTAAATCCCTCCCTCCGTTTCTGCCCATGTGCTCGCTGAATGGGCCATGAAAAGAAGCCAAGTCCTGTGCCATAAAGCCAACGAGCGCACTCATTCACACCCACCAATGCACAGGCATATACATAGACACCTACTGAGCCAACAATCCCCACAGCTGTGCACTGTTTAAACCTATTGATGAGACAGGCCTTTAACATTGCTCCCTTCAGCGTTTTAACGCTCTTCAGAAAAGCTGCGCTTGTACTTTGACTGCAAACTCTAAATTTAAACTCAAAAAAGCTGCAAGATCAGCGAACCAACTCTTCACCTCTTCCTCCGCCGATTTCACGTTGTTTTACTGCTAGATTCCATCACACGCTTCCATCATTCGCTTCCTTCTGGAACTCTGAAGTTAATTACTTCTCGTTGGCTCGCCTCCCAATATGTAGAGTGTACAGTAAACTCATTTTCGAGCCAGCAGATATCACAGGTGACCTCTGTTTCCTCTGTAAGATAAGTCCTACATTTCCCTTATCTGTGCCGGCTGCAGGATGTTCCTGGAGTTTGAGGCACAGCCGTTTGTATTAAGCCATGTGCTCAGGAAATAGGTAAGATTCCTCAATGCGTAGATGCCTTGCTACAGGAAACACTTAAGTCGGACTTACACAACCCACATGTGAAATCAAGAACAGTTGTAAAGGAGTAGGATCTGATGTTTGTACACTGCTGGCTGGGTGTGGGAAATGTAGAGCTGCAAAATGTTGTTCTTACCTGTGTAGATAAATCGGCCTGGTGTACCTTTGCAGAACTGCTTTGACTTGTAGGACAGAGTGACCTCCACAACCCCGGGAATGTGTCTCGGGGGAGTCTGAACTCGGATGGCATGAGGGGTTATGAGCTGCAAGAGGGGAAAAAAATCGTGTTTTTTTGGTTGTTGTTGCCAAAATTAGGCAAAAGTAATGCAACAAAATAATTCATTTCAATATTTTCTGAAAAAAAAACATTTTTTTAACTTCAAATTTTACTAACATTATACTATAATAACATTGAAACTAATACTTATTGTACTGTTCAATATTTCAATATTTTATAAATATACAAACATTTCAATATTTTCTGAAAAAAAATATTTTTTTACTTCAAAAAGACATTTTACAAATTTTACTAACATTATACTATAATAACATTGATACTAATACTTATTGTACTGTTAATCAGTCCCTTGAGGGTGTTTTTAAACAAATGGTTCTTGAAATCAAATAAAAAAATAAACAAACTGCATTTTCACAGCAAAACACAGGAACTGAAGCAAATAATTTGTGTTTTGAGAACAGATCTCACAATCTTAGTCATTTTAGGATATAAATATAATAAAATGCCTCTGCAAAATCCTGGATGGACTGCATATTAATAATATTTTATTATTTTTTAATACAAAAATACTATAATGCACAATAAAGTAAGTCAAAATCTATTAATGAATATACAATCAATCAACAGAATAGAATTCTCCCACATCGACATCTTTATGATTTCTATTCCATTTAGCATCAAAGCATAGTGTTTATATAACCATTCAGATTTCTACATAAAGTTATGTGACAGCAACATACACTCGCCGGCCACTTTATTAGGTAGACCTTACTAATACCGGATTGGACTCCCTTTTGCCTTCAGAACTACCTTAATACTTTGTGACATAGATTGAACAAGGCACTGGATATATTCCACAGAGATTTTGGTCCATATTGACATGATAGCATCATGCAGTTGCTCGAGATTTGTCATGTGAATCTCCCATTCCACCACATACCAAAGGTGCTGTAATGGATTGAGATCTGGTGACTGTGGAGACCATTTGAGTACAGTGAACTCATTGTCATACTCAAGAAAGCAGTCTGAGATGATTTGTGCTTTATGACATGGTGCGTTATCCTGCTGGAAGTAGCCATCAGAAGATGGGTACACTGTGGTCATAAAGTTGTGGACATGGTCAGCAATAATACTCAGGTAGGCTGTGGTGTTGACACAATGCTCAATTGGTACTAATGAGCCCAAAGTGTCAAGAAAATATCCCCCACACCATTACACCACCGCCACCAGCCTGAACCACTGATACAAGGCAGGATGGATTTGTGCTTTTTTTCACACCAATTTCTGACCCTACCATCCAAATGTTGCAGCAGAAATTGAGACGTTTTCCCAATCTTCTTTTGTCTAATGGTGAGTGTGTGCGAATTTTAGCCTCAGTTTCCAGTTTTTAGCTGACAGGAGTTGCACCCGGTGTTGTCTACTGCTGCTGTAGCAAATCTGTCTCAAGGTTGGACGTGTTGTGCGTTCAAAAATGCTCTTCTGCATGCCTCAGTTGTAACGAGTGGCTATATGAGTTACAGTTGCCTTTTAATCAGCTCAAACCAGCCTGCTCATTCTTCTTGGATCTCTGGCATTAACAAGGCATTCGCACCTTCAGAACTGCCGTTCACTGGACATTTTTATCTTTTTTCGGACCATTCTCTGTAAACCCTAGAGATAGCTGTGCATGAAAATCCCAGTAGATCAGCAGTTTCTGAAATACTCAGACCAGCCCGTCTGGCACCAACAACCATCCACCGTTCAAAGTCACTTAAATCACCTTTTTACCCACTTTGATTCTCAGTTTCAACTGCAGGAGATCGACTTGATCCTGCCTACATGCCTAAACGCATTGAGTTGCTGCCATGTGATTAGCTGATTAGAAATTTGCGTTAACAAGCAGTTGGACAGGTGTACATAATAAAGTGGCAGGTGAGTGTACTTGGTTGCTGTTTTTTTTTTTTTTTTAAAGAATAGTAGACTAAATTAAGCATATACAGCAAAGACAGTAGATATTCCTATTCTGAACATAGCATACAATATATTCTATATATCATATATTGATGTTATCCTGCAATATAGTAATAAGAGGTCATTGGTCAGTATTGCAGTCAGAAATGACCTTTTCTGTTAGCTCCATATGGTGACACAAATCATGCCAGCCAATAAAGCTTCTTGTCAGCTGGAAGGACAAACGGTCCAAGTCATTACATAATCAAAATTCTGTTCACATTTCAGGCATCTGCATTTTCTGACACTTGTGCTAGTCTACTTGCATCATGATGTTTAGAAACATGTATTTAGGTTACCCCCGTCTACCTGCAAAAGTACTAGCTGAGCTATTAAACAGCATTGTTTTGTTCTCTGATTAGACTATGATTTGACTGCTTACGGTGTTTGTGAAACTCTCCTCAATGCCTTTTGAACAGGAGCTGCGCGACTACAAAGCAGCTGCGAGCGCTCAGTTTCCCTGCAAAAGCTCTGTCATATTCAAAGCCAGAAGCACTGGTGCTGCTTTACATGGCTTTAAACTGTCCCTTTCATTGCTCACTTAGCTGCGCTTTCATATGCCAGCCACTGCTCTTCTCACCTCTCAGATAAATATGGCATTGTCAATGAGAGGCTTTTTATAGAATTACCTCTTTCATGTAGCTCTTCTCAAGCAGCACGAGAACTGAGTGAGCAAAAGACCAAAACAGATGGACAGACGGGAAAACAGACAGACTGGCTGACCAAAAAAAATGAGGACTCAAATTCAAACTGGCACGTGCCTTGTAAGATTTGGAAGCCAAGTGGATTTTGAGTACTTCTCCCATATCATATGTACATATCGCTTAATTAGGTTGCATAAATATTTAGACCCATCCGAGTTCTAAAACATTTTTATTTTGCTCATTACACACATTGGAGCATCAAGCTATTTTCCTACAATGTCTAAAATGGTTTAAAGATCTCAGGATTACAACTACAAGCCTGATTTTTACAGACAAAAATCTGAATTTTCACCTGCTTCGAACATTATCAGTGGTTATCAGCTGATGGATATGGGCCAGTAGGGGCCTTCTATAATATAATAAATATCTTTTATATGTACTAAAATCTCACCATCAATGGCATCCTGCTAATTTCAAATGTTAGTGCAAAGTTTTGCGCCTACTAGTAGGCTCAGAAGGCTGTTATGATCCATCCACATGGTTAATCAGCTACAGATGCCATATGGCTAGGGCTAGAAGTTAACAAGAATTATTTATGTTATTTATTAAATTTCCCATTAATTGTATTTCATTAACAGCTACCCCTACCCCAACCGTCACAGTAATGTAAAAACAGATCTGGATCTGGAGTCTTCTCTATTTGTATAGCTCGTTAACCATGTGGATGGATGATAACAGCCTTCTGAGCCTATTAGTAGTATCTATAAGCTAATAACCTTTGATAACGCCCATTCAACAGAGTGATAAAATTCAAATTGGCTGGAATTTTCATGAAATACAATGAATAAACATGTAAACTGTATACAATATTCATTCATGTTGATCCCTAACATTTGAAATTAGCATTATGCTATTGTTGGAGAGATTTCATTTTGACCATTTAATCACTCATGTGTCAAATGTGTAGGCTTTAAATTGCTAAATCGCTTTCTCTTGTTGCTTTTCTTTTTTTTTTATTAAAAAGACCAATGGTTTTGAGGTAAAAAAGTAAAGAGCTAATGTAAATGTAAATCTTTGTATGTTCACAACAAAACAACATCACAAATACAAAAATTTTGCTGCAAATTTTAATAAATAATGCTGCAAAATTAGTAATTTGTAGCTGCAACAATCAGATTTTTTTCCTGCAAAATCCAGGAGGGTCTGGTTGAGCACTGAGCAGACAAAAAAAAACAAAAAAAAAAACAGCCACTGACAGTATTTTAACAGGTACAGCCAGGTGAGGTGACTGCATTTGATTGCTGGCTGACAAGTGAGAAAGGAATAAAATAGCAGTGACAAAAAAACTAACCATAACAATCGGGAGACACTTGTGAAACAATGTACTAAATTCACATGAATGGGAAGTAAAAAAAAAATCCCTGATAATCCATGATTATGTCAAAAATATATACATTCCATTAGAATATATACCTCCAACATCTGGGACAGACCTTTTAAATTGACATGATATTCCAGAAATTCCATGACCTGTGTGAACCCTGACATCTGGTCTCTTTCCAAGAGCCTAAAACAGCATCCCCTCAACATGCTTCAGCTGCACTTTTTTCACAAAACCAATGGCAACTCAAATAGAAAGGTAACCAACCTCACTCCAGACCAGCATGGTGCCAAAGATGACTTGTAGGCCATCAAAGAAGTTATCACCAATAATGATGACTGTTGCACCCCCTGTCGTCCAGCCTTCACTGGGACTGATGGCCTTAATGCAAGGAGTAGCTGTTAGAAAGAGCAAAAGAAAAGAGTCAGACAGAGGCAGTCATATACAATGAACATCTTGAAAATTCATTTGCTAGTTTAGTGGCTAATTCGTACCAAATTTGTAGATTTTTAAAAGGAGGTGCGGCACCAAACCCCACCCCTAAACCTAACCATCATTGGGGGATTAGCAAATCGTACTAAATTGTACGAATGAGATATGAAAATGAGATATATGAACAGCAAATAATAACTTGAATTCTAGTCAGACAGAGGCTGTCATATACAATAAACATCATGAAAAGACACATGCAAGTTTATTGGCTAATTAGTACAAATTTGTAGTACAAAAATGTATAATTTTTAAAAAGAAACTTGGCACCAAACCCCACCCCTAAACCCAACTGTCATTGGGTGATTAGCAAATCGTACTAAATTGTAGGAATGAGATACGAAAATGAGATACAAGATATGATTTGCAGTAAGATAACATTAAATATACATCAATGATAAATTTAAGAGACCACCTGAAAATGGTCTGGATTTATGATTTAGGGTGCTTTCAGACTTGGTTCAGTTGCTTGAACCGAACCCAAGTTCAATTGTCGCCCCTTGCCGACTTCTCAGCTGGTTTGTGTCTACACTGTATTTTTTTCATCTAAACCCCGCTACATTTGCATTATTAAGCTGCTGTTGTGTGTACAGATGTTGCAAAGCACCAAAATGGAGACATACGCATATCACATTCCTTTCGCTTTTACTGAATCTTTTGGTTTTGTTACCAAAACCAAAATACAGAGAGCAGACATTATTACTGTTTGCACTGGGTCAGTCCTGCTTGACACCAAGGTAGATTGTAGGGATGTTGGATTTTGTTTGAAAATGAAAATCTGGTTGACGTCAGAACCCAACGTCAGTCGACGTCAATGTCCAACGTCCAACCTAAAATCAACCAAATATCAACATCTAATGTTGTTACACCTTGACGTTGTGTCGACGTTACCACTATGACATCTGTCAGACGTTGGTGATTTTCCAACACAACCTAAAATCAACAAAATATAAACATAGTTTGACATCGTTATTGGACGTCAAAATAACGTAGTCCTTAGACGCTGGCTAGACATTGAATTTTGGTCAGCTGACAACATGATCTAAATAAAATCTAATATTTACATCTTATGAGGTTGTTTGCCTGCTGGGCAGACACACACACACACATACACACAAATGAATGTTATGAAAACTAAAGTTTGTTGTACAGTTGGTGGTTTACTTTCGTTATATGGTACGATGGCATTTATATCACAAGTGAACTGTACCTGAGTTTGAACAAACCATACCCCAGACTACCTCTTTTAGGTGGATTCGGTTATGGTTCACGGGTGCACACCCGAGTTCAGAAGACATCGTTCACATAGCTAAACATACCGTACTCTGACATCAAACAAACCCGGGTGTGGACCAAAAGCGCTGGTGTGAATGCACCCATATAGTTTAATATTAGTTTTACTTCCATATATAATATAAAAATCTGTATTTTAGGGCATTTCTTACCAGAACTCACTAAAAAAGATACTGAAATACCAATGATTCAAGTTAAGAAAGCAGTATTAGATGAGAAGAAAACAACATTTTCAATCACAACAAAAGAAAACATCCGTCTTTCTGGCCAAACTGACATTTCTTTAAAAATAAAGCTCTAAATGACAATATATAATTATAAATTTGGAAGAAATGTTATCAGACATTTACAGATTAAAAACACTGACATTTTACTCAATCCCATATCTAATAAATCCACAGAAACTGAATTGTGGCATGTTAATTTTGTTTCATAGCTGTAGATTAATTAGCACTATACTGTCTATATTTGCCTGTATCGCCAGCAAAGTGATTATTTACGTTAAATGTCAAACGCATCAGAATAAACATCTGGAAGCAGCCGGCAAATCATCACTCGTGTGCATTACCTGTGACATAATTTCACGCACAGACTAGATTCTTGGGAAATAAATCTAAAGCTGTGCAACTGATTTCTTCCTGATTATGGCAAATAGATTTATGAGCCACACTCTATTAGGAAGCTTTAGGCACAGCTTAATGACAAGTGACTGACTCATTAGAGTCGTCACATATGATTAGACTGTGGCCATTCCTCTGCGCCGTCCCCATATGCTTCCTGACAGCGGTGCGAGCATGAGAGATGACGCTTGCTCGACGATCATTTATCTCAATCTACGCTCTATAGTAGCATGATTCACTGCGCCGGTTGCCTGGAAATCACCTGCAACTTAACCATTATCATCTCTAGTGTTTTTAGGATCTAAGATTGCACAGTCAGTGTCACATAAAGAAACAGAGAGACAACAATTTCTCCTCCTTGCTCGGCTTTGTGCAATTATTGCAGGCCAGCTCCAGTTTTTGTTCTCTGAAACTCCATTCCAAATCCACTCCATGGATTAAATCTGTAGTTACAACTCAGCTGTGAAGTCTTTCTTCACTCTCTTCTTATATATCTTACAGTATATGCACTACCTGACAAACGTATTGTCGCCTATCAAAGTTTTAGGAATAATACCTTGACTTCTAGTTGATCATCTGGTATCAGAAGTGGCTTATATGAAAGACAAAGCTCTCTAGATTACGCTTATTTGACCAAAATAAAATATGATCATGCTTTGATTTTTAATTATATAATTAGAACAGTAAGGTCTGATTTTGCTTAGACAAAATTCTTGTGAGTTAACAGAAATAATGTGCAGAACAGAATATAAAGTCATGGTGCAGTCAAAAAATAATTAATATTGTGTATGACTCCCATGAGCTTGGACGACTGCATACATACATCTCTGCAATGACTCAAATAACTTATTAATAAAGTCATCTGGAATGGTAATCTGTTCTTGCAAGACTCCCGGAGTTCATCAAGATTCTTTGGATTCATCTTCAATGCCTCCTCCATCTTACCCCAGACATGCTCAATAATGTTCATGTCTAGTGACTGGAATGGGCAATCCTGGAACACCTTGACCTCCTTTGCTTTCAGGAACTTGATGTGGAGGCTGACGTATGAGGAGGAGCGCTATCCTGCTGAAGAATTTGTCCTCTCCTGTGGTTTGTAATGTAATGGGCAGCACAAATGTCTTGATACCACAGGCTGTTGATGTTGCCATCCACTCTGCAGATCTCTTACACGCCCCATACTGAATGTAACCCTAAACCATGATTTTTCCTTCACCAAACTTGACTTATTTCTGTGAGAATCTTGGGTCCATGTGGGTTCCAATAGGTCTTCTGCAGTATTTGTGATGATTGGGATGCAGTTCAACAGATGATTCATCGGGAAAATCTGCCTTCTGCCACTTTACAAATGATCAACTAGAAGTCAGGTTATTATTTGTTGCTCTTACAACTGGGATCAACGAAAAGCTTTTGTCAGGTGTTGTGTGTATATAATTACATACAAATGATACATTTTTAATAGTATACAATTGTATAAATTTGATGGGCATCCCCTATACATAAAACATATGCTGGATTGGTGGTTCATTCCACTGTGGCGACCCCAGATTAATTAAAGAACTAAGCCAAAAGGAAAATGAATAAATGAATGAATGAATGAAGTAATTCTTTTAAAAAGACTTCATGATTTATTTTGTTACACAACTAATTGGTTTTGTTTGATAACTAATTGAATTGATTAGATCGTATATTGATTTATTATTCATTACATTTTATATTACATTTAAATTTGATTTATTTTCCAGTTAGCTGTATTGTAGGTTGAAAATAATAATTCAGTTAAGAATTTTAAAAATTAAATATCAGAATAAAAAATAAAAATCTTGTTTTTTTTATTTTATTTCACTTTATCCTGAAGTAAATTTGTGTTGTATAGTCACCATAAAAATGTAAGACTGATGCATTAGTAAAATTTATTTTAAATAAACCACTATGTACTCTACACTTTAACATTTTAAAAATATATTTTTTACATTTTATTTTTTATATATTTTAAAATATTTTTTAATATATTATTTTTATTCAATATTTGCTGGGCATTTTTAATTTCTAAATCGTTTAGTCATGCACTCTAGTGTCCCTAATATCACTGCAGAAACAACTCTCTTTGCATCTTTCGCACTTCTTTTTAAGTGTGACACAAACAACTCATTTTCACTCAGTCTTCTCCAAAAAAAAAATATATATATATATACTATTAGGCTCCATTGCTTGAATTGAAAATTAAAAAAACAGTGTGACAGGACATTGAAAGTCTCTGTCAGCATCTGCCCCCCTGGAGCTCTGCCTCTAAAAGACTCTCAATTCCCCTCCTCCTTTTTTTTGTCATGGACATAATTAATGAAATCTGAGGGTCCGACTGGAAAAGATCAGTCAGTGATGAGTGTACAATAGCAGCACTCCTCCCTCCGTCCCCTCTGGGGTTGTGCAGAAGAACACGAATGCTAATTCCACTTGATTATACACACACCTTTATTAAATATTACACTGACCCCATGTGTGCGCGGGGAGGGAGGGGTCCAGGTGCGAGCGCTTGTTTTATGACACTCGTGCAAATGTCATGAGTGCTGGAGTTCGCCAGGCACAGAGAAATCCCGAGTCCTTACAGCAGTCGATCAAAAGGCCAGGCGCCCTGGGACACTCTGAGAAAACAGCAGCCAGCCATAAAAATTCAACACCTTAATGAGTTTAAATTTCATTTCAGTGTGTTGAACTTTGGCACTGGATTCTAAAGCTCGCTGTCTCATTGAAGCCGATTTAACCGACTAATTACTGCTGTTCCAATTTGCTGCTGGATTTAAATAGAAGGAAAGACATGAGGGAGGGGAAAAAAGGAAAAGTCAGAGTCCTCTGAGGCAGAGAGCGGCAGAGTCGGCTCTGTTGTCCTCTGTGACTCTGTGAGTTAGGGGGACTGAACACACATCTTTCGAAGTGCCCCTATTACGAAATTTAAAAGGTTTCTTAATTTGTATTGGACAATGCATTTATATGAATGC